ATAAAAATTCACCTACAAACATAAAAATTAAGTTTTAGAAAGGGAGTTCATATTAACACCTTGTGTGAATTCAGACTGTCCGCGAACGAGTTAATATATTTAACCTGTGCGTCATATTGTATTAATATTTCCGTGATCGAACTCTTTCGTGCTTAGTTTCTATAATAGTTACTTTATATTTTCAAACAGTGCTGAGTTAATAGTTGTGTTGAAGAATCAAATCTTTGAGTAGTTCCTCGAATTCTTCGTTGTTCATGAATCTCTGGGAAATACTAATAAAACGAGGGGACGTTCATCTCACGATTGGCCGTTTAGTATCATAACAGATGTACGAATAAATAATATGAAACAACATTGAACGAATAATGAATAAACGATGAAGGAATTGTAATCGATTAACCAATAGAATTTCATCCGTTATTTATTATTCCAACAAATTCATATTCTAATAATGACTAAGCCTATTCCCGTGATCGGAAAATTTCCTCTGCCTTTAACCGTTATGTTAGCAACAGAGTATTAGAGTAGCAATTTTTAAATATTCTTCTGGATAATTCGTTATATTCTCGTAAAAATTTCACTAAATTGCTTCGAATCATAATTTCTTGTTCACTTTTGGACCGATTTATGCTCTGAAAATGAAAGATTTACACGAAGATACGATAATACCTGAGTTCGAACGGACGCAAGTATTTTAGCTGGTAACACAAGGGTTAACGAGAGACACGAATAAAAAAAGAATCCAACTCCGAACACACCCCACTGACTTCATTATTTTTTCCCCAGAATACACCTCAGAAGCCGAAGCACTATCGTTCGCCGCATGGGTGCCTGGGTTAACGATCGTTTCGCGGAGGAGGAGGCGGTCCCGATTAACCAGGGCCCGGGAAGAAGGAAAACTTCACGCATTCTGGGCCACGTTTGCGATGGTGGCGGTCCAGGTGCGATTCACCAGCCTTCAAAGAACTTTAAATCGTTCACGTCCTCAGCGTTGCTGTTGCCGTTACGCCGTCAGTTCACCAGACAGCTGTACGAGTGGCCGTGCTTACCGTTGTTTAAATCAAGGACGAAACTAAACCGGTCCAGGATCGGTTCGATCGTGATTCGAGCGATTTAACTGTTTGTATAACTGGTGTTCGCGTGTTGCGAGTGCTACGAGAGAGAAGAAGAATTCGAATCGAAAGAAGGAAGACAACAGGAAAATATATATATCAAAAATATATGTATATATACACGTGTATAGGTAACTCGTTCTATTGTTATCGAAGAAAGAGGATAGGGAGTAGTAGTCCGTTCTGCGAGACGAAATATCGCTAGAATTGAGGAGGATCTACGGCAAGTTCAATGTCGTTACCTTGGTTCTCAGACAATCGCACCTGAACGGCCAGCCTTCTCCTCCTCCTTGGCGGCGTCATCATGGCCGAGTGGGACCGTGTGAAGTTCAACGGCGAGGAGAAGCAGCTGACTGAATCGAACGAAACGATCGAGTCGGAAAGCATCAGGGACGACGATCGTAGCGACGAGTCGCGCGGTGATCTGAACAACGGTGAGATCGCGCGGGGGAAGCACGATGAGGAGCTGTTGATCGAGATGAGACGCTCGTCGAGCGTGGCCTCGCAAGAAACATCGACTGATACGAGACATCGGAAGAGTGGCGAAACGACGGCGTTGACAGTCTTAAATTCTATAGTGAAGGATAATACACGGTTCCAAAAGAATCCCGACCAAATTAGTATTCTGTTCGAGGAGCAGTCGAAATCGTTGAGCGATCAGAGCTACGAGAATGACGTGGTGATCGAGAAGTCCGAGGATGAAGAGGACATACGGTGTTTGGAGAGGACGTATAACGGGTCTGAGGAACCTGGTTCAAGAATAAGACAGGAGGCGAGGCAGGAGTTGAGCAAACTATCGCAGAGTTTCAAAAGGCCTGTCAGCCTGCACAAGGACGACGCGTTTAGCCCTCAAAAACGCAAGAGCGTGTTCACCGTGAGGAATTCGATCTCCCCGACCAGAATCCTACCATCGAAGCATCTGCTATCTTCTGAGAACAGCATCGAGAAGCTCGTCAACGGAAGATCGCCCAGGGAGGACAAGCAGCAGCATCATGTGCAGTTCAACAAAGACTCGAAGAAGCAATACTCGCGGGACGACAGGTCGCAGCCAACCCCGTCGATACCTACGTCGGCCATCAGTACTTCCGAGGATAACTCTAGCTTGGGTCAGTTGTGCGAAGGTACGCCACCGGATGGGGGCTGGGGATGGGTAGTAGTCGTGGCTGCTTTCTTGGTCAATCTCATAGGGGACGGGGTCACGTTTTCCTTCGGTGTGATATACGTCGAATTTCTGAACTACTTCGGCGAGGGCAAGTTCAAGACTGCCTGGATAGGCAGTATATTTATGGCGATGCCGTTGCTGTGCGGTCCGGTAGCAAGTTTCTTGACGGACAAGTACGGCTGCCGACGGGTGTGCATAGCGGGTAGCATCCTAGCCACAACAGGTTTCGTGATCACATCCTACGCGAACTCGATGGCTGTCCTGGTGTTCACTTTCGGCATCTTGCCGGGATTTGGTCTATCCCTTTGCTTCGTTACAGCGGTGGTCATCGTTGCTTATTATTTCGACAAGAAGAGATCATTTGCGACAGGTTTATCTGTTTGTGGCAGCGGTATTGGAACGTTCATATGCGCCCCATTGACGCAGTACCTTCTCGGCGAGTATGGTTGGCGAGGGACGACGTTGATTTTAGCTGGCCTTTTCCTGCAGTTAGCCGTGTGTGGTTGTCTGATGAGAGATCCGGAATGGACGACCACGAGGGTGAAGGCGAAGACCGAAGAAAGGCGGAAAAATCGTGAGAAGAAGAGAAGTAGGATACAAAGTTCTAGCGTGGAATCATTCTCAGCCAACAGTTCGCTGAACACTCTTACTATCATGGAGAATCTGCGGTTGCAAGAGGAAGAAGACAAGGAAAAGCTATTCTGTAGTCTGCTCAGTCTGCCAACCTTCGTCAAGACCGGCGAGAAGGTCCCCTCGGAGGTATTGGAGTTGCTCAGCACGCGGAAAAGCGTTTATAACGTGCTGCTGCAGAATTATCCCAGTCTTTTGATATCCTCGAGGAGCTTCAGTGATTCTGGAGCACTTCACGACCAACTTAGCACCCCGTCGGCGAGATTCACGGCCACGCCCAGTTCGTTGTGCGATCTCAAAGCTGAGGAAAGCAAGGACAAGGAACACCTCGTTCAACAACAGTTGAACTACGATCAGATCGAACAGCAGGCCGACTCTGCGTGGCGTCTACGCTGGTCGAAGAAGAACAATCAGGACAATGCGAGGAGAGCCAGCACCCCGGAGAACCCAAAGAGGCTGCCCGCGGCATTTCCAAAGGATATCAAAGTGCACAGGCATAGTTTCACCTACAGAGGTGCCATGTTGAATATAAATAGGCTGAGGGCATCTAGTTGTCCGGATATTTATAGGAACTCGATGACCACCATCACGAAGACGAAGCTGGTTTGGTATGCTGGGCTTTGGGACCCTCTCATGGATATGCTTGACTTCTCGCACTTCGCCGACTCGCGTTTCTTACTGTTCGCGATCAGTAACTTTCTGTTGCACACCTGGTACGACGTGCCTTACGTCTACCTGACGGACAACGCGATCGAGATGGGGTTCAGCGAGACCGATGCTTCCAACCTGATATCGGTCATTGGGATTGCCAATACTGTCGGCGAGGTAAGAGAAAACATATTTTTATTTTTCAATTCTTTGCAGATTATATATTGCTTATTGTGCTCTTCTGAGCAGTTATTTACACGAAGTAGTATAATTTTCTTGAGGTGAGACACCTAGAAACGGCCTAAGTATAGGTAAACTTTAGGAATTCTTTGTTGATAACAATGAAGTGAAAACTTCTGATTCTTTCTGAGTGTATAACCGAAGCCTTCTGTTTTGCATTTATATTTTTCTTTTTAAATCAAAATGTTACAAAATGTCGCAGTTCTTCGGTAGCTTCGAAACCCGTTTTCATAAAACATTCATCGTTTGCGAACAATTGAAACATTCGAATTTAAAAATATTATTTAAAATATAGCGTACAGTTTTTTCGAAATTTTAATTATTATGGAAATGGTAAGCAATTGGAGTGCAAAAACTTGTTTTTGCCCCAACAAATTAGATTTTAGATTTAAGTTATAAGAAAGAGACTGTCGTCTAGTCATCTTATCGAGTGTGGTTTTTTTTCAATTTTCTAACAACTTCATGGCGTAACAACGAGAAGAGACATATTCTATACAATCCTCTAGTTTTTCTCTAAGAAAAGTAGCTCAATTACCTTCAAAGTTATAAAATGTTATTTTCTTTCATAGCCGACTTTAGGAATATCAATTTAAACATTGATTTTTTAAATATATAGAATATACTGATATAAGTCAGAAATCACCAAAATTCCATAACAAGAAATAAATCATTTCATATTTATTCGTAATTTCGTGCAAACAATAAACTTTCACATGATATTCATTTTTACCTTATGCAGTATCACTTCTGCACCGGAAAACTTTCTCGTTATTCTTCTTTTGCTCTTTGCGCTGAATCTTCTGTTCTTTCGTTCAATTATTTCCTGTATTGATTAAATCTCATACAGCGACTGTATTGTCTGAAAATTCACTGATAAGTATTGAATTTTATATACTATAATACTAATTGCCTGTAACATTTTCGATAAAATCGGAGATCTTTCATGAAATAAATAAGCAACAATGTTGGCTACACTTTCAGATATTGCTAAACCAGAGTAGAGTCTTTGTGGCAGCATCTGTCAGTTCAAGTAATTCCTATTCTCATTATTTTCCTTGTTACATCCTTCGATACAAGGTTACGATGAAATACTTATCTCTACTTAGATCTTTATAAATGTAAATCTCTGTAAAACTTCCGGTGGGAATGATTTTTGATTAAGGCCTCTGTTCACTCGCACCCGGATGCCTCACTTCGAATGCCTATAACGTTATTATTTCAGCAAATTCTTTAATGAAATCATAAGTGAATATGTTTCAAGCATATTACTACGAAAAAATATATTAAATAATTCAAAGAACGATTTTTCTGGCTCTATTACATACATGTCAATTTAACACCCTTTAAATGTTTATTGCAATATCTGAGTAAGAAAGGTGAATTGTTTACATAATCGTAAAGTCTTTGTTAAAAACTTCTTTAAATTTCTGTAGCATGTTGGAAGCACATTCCAGATAGGGATTTTCTAGTTATTTCTGTATTTTTGGTAGGTCTTAACTAATTGTCTGCTCAAAATGACTAATTTTCTGATTTAGAAATGAGAATTAAATGTAGGCGATCAAAAATACATAACATTATCGAGTTTAGAGTGATGGTGAATAAAATTCCATTAATGCATCTAGGTACGACTAAAGTGTATTCTATTTAAATATTTAGTACAATATCCGTAGATTCATGTGTTGTAGTTTACTTAGTGATTCATTGTAATGAATTATGTTTCCTCTAATGTAAGTTACATCTTTAATCCGAGTAACATGGTTAATTATGATCAATGATAGTTAAAAAAAATGTATTTTCCTTTCAATTTATTAAAACATTTAGAAAAAACAAGATTTTTTCTTTCTACCAGTTTAAAATATTTAGAAGAAATAGGTTTATTAACATTTCCTCAACTTTTACAAGTATTTGATCTTTAAAGGAAAAATAAGGACGAAAAGTATCGCGACTGGCCGTAATTGTTAAATATATATTTTTTTTATTTACAATACAAGAAATTATTTTCTAGTTTTTATTATAGCAATTTAGATACTTAAAGTACAGCTAAATTTTATTCTACGTTAACTATAAAATACAATCACTAAAGATGCCTAGTGATTGCGCCATTAAATGTAATAACAAATTATGTTCCTTCATTTCTCGTTTAATCATCATCCTATAGAAAGTCCTTAGAATTCCTTAGCACAGAGTAATTGTTATTGTGAATATATAACAACCGTAGAAACATTAACCTTAACATCCCGCGATAGAAATGCACAATACACTTCGTTTTACTTAACGTTCGCCTGCCAGTAACGTGACACATCGATAATTTCAAATATCGACGTTCATTGTTCACTTGATTCTCCTACGTGGCAGACTTTGTTCCTTTATGCGGTCCGATATTAGTGCGCTCCACTGCTGTTTATCGGTCATTGAAGAATCGTTATTTCCACCTGCCACTATACGAAGACAGTTTCTTCAAGGCATGCTCATCGTTGTGTACAAAGTTTCTAAAAATTTGGTTACCACGACATTTCGTTTTCATCACCTTCTTTTCTTGTTAAGTAAGAGAACTTTTAATATTTCATTAATGCTTGGTGATTTATAAATGTAGTGAAAGTAAAAGTAGCTACTAAATAATTAGTTAGTTCTGTAATGAAAAATTCGGTTACAACAGTTTCATAAATAAATAGATACAGTCCTAGCAATACTCATTCAAAGAGAAAATCGTTCAGTAATGACAGCTGAAATGAATAAAATATTTACGAAACTATTAACTCCAGGTAATACGAAATTTTAAGAATTTTTTACAGTAATTTAGTAACTCCTGTGATACAACTTTTCACATTTAAAGTTCACGTGTTTATGCATTCTATAAAATCTGATTCATCCAAACTGTTATCAAAATTTCGTTACAGATTTGGGGAATTCATATTGCAAAAATCGCTTCGCTTTAAAAGTCTCAGGCTGAATAACGCTCTTATCGTAGATCGATGACACGTGGAAGATTGAATACTTTGTTAAATCTGGAAGCTCTTTAAACGTCCGTATTACGTCAGTCTCGTCTTAGGTCACCCAGTGACACGGCACGTCGGGTTCTTCTCACCCTTTCTGATCGCATTTGATTGTAAACTCCCTTCGACCCTGAGCTTGCGTCAAGCAAGGATTATTCGACGTGTGTGTTGAAGAGATTTACGTATAAGCATTTCTTGGGAAATGAATGCCTTCGCTATCGATTCTACGCTGGAAAATACATTTTTAACCTTAATAAATCTCGGTTGAAATCTGATATACTGTTCTACGGATTTATAAATGAGTTCTGGAGAATTAATTCTCGAGGGGCAAACGTTATGGATGAGTTCATGATTAACGGTAGCTAGGATTATTCAAATATTGGTAAATATTCACTTTAAGGGAGGTAGCTCCGATGACTTTGAGCTTAAAATATGTTGTCAAGGGCATGATTTTAAGTAACTTTTTTCTATACGTGTTACTGTCGCTCGGCCTTAGTTATCCAAATCTATTTGTAAAAATTTATCTGGGGAAACAGAGCCGATGGTAATTACACAGAAAAAGGGAAACTGCTCGTATGACCTTGTCTTAGACATATGTTGTTTAAGTCGTTGCTTTGACCGAGTGCCTGGTGCATTATATCCTTTGGCGGTCACGATTGGTTAAACAATTGTGAACATTAAAAGGGATATCTCATTTCTATCGGTGAAAAACGTGGATTTTGCATCATTTTTTATAGAAATAAGTACGTATGGATGTTTTTTAATCGAAACATCGCATGTGTTTTTTCTACACTTTCATTAAATTTCATAAACTTTCCCAGTTAAATTTATTCAGAGATACGATTTCTAAAACCCATAGATCAAACTGGTACTCATTTGAGAAACTTATGGGACAACGGATTAATTTTTACATGTGCAATTATTTAAACATTTTTTTCTATATGATTTGTAGCACAACTGCGTTTAGTAGAACTAGTTTATCGTTAATAATTCACTAGAAAAGAATGTAATTTCCCAGTTATATTAAAATTCTACAGTTATCTTTTATTAGTGTATAAATTTACTTACTACAGTATTAATATGTATTTTTGAAGTACCCTGTACAGTGTTCAGTAACTTAGTAAGTAAAGAAAGGAAATAATTTATAGTTTTAAATTTAAAACTCTTTCTTCTAGTCGTCAAAAGAGTAATTAACAGTTCTCATACAAAAAGTGATTATTGGATCCACATGACATTAGTCTTTTAGTTCATGATCTCTTTCAAAATTGCGCTCTTTAAGAATACTTGTAGTCAATAATTTGTTAAAGGAAAAAAGAGTTCTATGTTCATGGTGAAGCAACATTTACTTTGAAGATTAAATGTTGATGATAGAATAACACTATTTAATTTCAATATGAGAAAATTTAAAAATAATCATATTGGTTACGTCCAATTATAAAAGCTATATAGCCGAATAAGCATGGTAAAAATGCCTTCAAATTAAATTGACCGGGGTACATATCATTCGATAAAGTTTTCGAAGAAAACCTTTCGCGCAAACACTTACTAGTAGAATAGTTACGGGATGAAACGCAATTTACAATTGAAGCTTCAATTCTTTCGTTCTTTTTTATAGAAAATTATGAATAAGGTCATGAATGTTTTGTCCATTGTCCTGCATATAATTTTTCACAATTTTTTTATACATAGAAACAGTTTTTTACATTTTAAAATGTTTATATTTGCACCGTATTTGTAGTTTATCATGGTTATTATTACATAATACTTTTTACGCAAAAAATCTTAAAAATATATGTGTATTAATAATCATAATAAAGTGTAAAACTATAAAAAATTAACCTGTTAAGAAGAATAATCAAGGTAATAATATAAATAAATATCCATTTTTATCTTTTCATGTATGACAATCTTTTGAGGAAACTGAAAAATTAGATGTTAATAATCATAACAAGCCACAAGAACCTATAACCTGACATAGTTTGTAGCTAATGAATTCTGCCACACTGCCTCGAGCGGTTTACACTGACTCGTTTTAAGTGCGCGTAAACGCATTCTCTGCCTCCTTAAAAAAGGAAAAGTTGGAATGATACACCTTCGCAAATAATCTGAGAAAATAACATAAGTAACTATAATATAATAAATCGCTAAAACATTAAAAATATAATTGCAGCTACACTTGATAACTTCAATGAAAATCTAGCACTCTAAAATATTTTTAATTTTTTAAACACCAATAATGCAACCAGAATTGTAAAAAAATTCGGAGGTATACGGGCTGATGTGCAAAATATTCCTGATTTTTAAAAAATAATTTTCTATAAAACAGGACGAAAGAAATGAATCGTAAACTGTAAATTACGGTTTACCCGGTAATTAATCCCTTACCCTATGATTTATTTTTTTACTGAGATCGATCTGACTACTTTGTTATTAATAATTTATCGAAAATAAGAGAAAACTCCAACCTCATTACGTGTCACCGTGCGCTTGAAGATGTAATAATCGATAATAGGGGAATAATATGTAATTTGCACTTAAAGAAGTTGAATAATATTTGTGTTTGTTAAATTCTATTTGAAATTTTCGCCACGAGTCTGACACGATATTGTAGGGCAAGGGGTTAACATTCCAGCAGACGTAGCGGCTTAATATTTTGTACAAAAGATTTTCTTTGAAAGGCATCGAATGATATATAAAATTATATATTTCGGGCACTTTTACCATGTCTGTTCGGCTGTACCCTACACCACGAATCTGACACAGTTTTATGGGCTAAAGGGTTCAACCGCTTGGCTTGGAATTTATTCGATTAATTTAATTTTGCAATGTTGGGTTAGAGATAAATCGGAGATACAACGATAACTGTATATTATGGTATATATGGAATAAAGTTACGTTGCACGCGAATAAAATGACCTTAAATGAGAAACGTGTAATTTTGTTTTGGCTCGAGTTATCAATCACGTGTTTCAGATGTTGCCTCGAGCCAAGTGGACGTAGATAAAACACACTTCAACTATATGAAATGAGTATACCGATTATTATTTGGGAAATCGAAGTTCAATAGAAATATGTCCATGTATAAATGTATATTAAAACCAACGTGAACTTATGAATTTCGTCTGTATAAAATTCCAATTAATTGGTTTATTAAAAAAATAAAAAGTTACAAACAAAATTAGTTTCCATAACTGCATATATATTATTACGTTAGAAATAATGGAATTTGAAAAGCAGTAAATATTTTCTGAAAAAAATGATATGAAACTCATGCGTGAGATGCATCAAGCACATCAAAGGGCATAGTAGTAGGATGGCGGGGTGAAAAGTACCCTTAGACCGATTTTTCTCGAGAAAGTTTCTTTCAGTGGCTTATCCATAGAAAATATCGTGCACTAATTTTCAGCCCCCCCTCTCAACTTTAAGGGTAGTTATATACGTAAAAACAAATCCGAGACATTTTTGGCATAGCAATATATACAGCTGAGAATGTTTGAAGATTTTCCGGCTCCAAATCTTTAGCGTGAAAAAAAACTCCAAACAAGTAGAAACACGTAGACTTCGCATTGAAGCTTTTGAGCAATATGAGGCTTTATAGAATTCTAAAATATTAAAAGTCACATAATATAGATACTATACAAAGCACACCGCAGAAGTTAAAAGTATTAATTACGGTACTGCCAGAAAGGCTTCTAAAAATTAGTTTCTCATTTTTTTAACTATGGCGTAGCAGGCCAAAAATCTGAAGAACCTGAGAATGACTGTGATACTAATATGTCCGCTACTGTAAAAATTAAAAGGTTGTCGCTCGGAAGCTTCACTGTGAAACTACATTTTTCTACTTTTTTGGAGCTTTTCATTTTTCATGCTAATGATTTGGAACAGAAAAATCGTGAAAAATTTTCAGCCATACACTGCTATGCCAAAAATGTCTCCGAATTTTTTCACAGTTTTTACGTACCATTAAATGGGGAAAATAGGACGAAAACTAATAATTCAAATTTACCCTATAACTACGCTTCCGATTGATATAGAGGGTTGAAAGCTGGTGTATAACGCTTTCCACAGGTAAGCCACCGAAGGAAACTTTCACGAGAAAATATGAACTACTTCGTTCTAATATCTACAATCTTAACCAACAACATGTAGTTTGTTGCAAAATCCTTGGCATTTACTTCAGCTTCTTAAAATTTTACACGCCAAATTAACCTCCGTAAATATTTTAGATAAACTGGTAAACAAATAGTGAATTGTATGCACATGAATTTACCAGGTAAAGTAGACTGCATATTGTAAGACTATTTAACTTGGTGATTACTTTCGGTTCTATGCCCAATTGTTGTTCATCCAACAACAGTTGTTGCGCAAAAAGTTACGAAAGTTGTTTTATAGTCAAAAAATTGTACATGGAAAGATTGATGTCCGAGAAGTTGAAGTTGTATCATCTTGTATAGGCGTTTCCAATGGGAATTACCGGGGCTTTCTAAATTTACTTACCCGTACGGCATTATTTCAATTGTTATGGTTGACATTTATTTTTTATGACATTACTAAACTTCAGATTTCACGAGTACGCATGACAAGTATCAATGTACAGAATATAGTGTGGAGAAATATTTGAAGAATTTAAGAATGCTGTTATTTTAATTTCCAAGTTACTACAATTTTTAGGAGAAGAAATTAGCTTCCACTTAACTCTTATTCCTTTAAATCACTTTGGAAAATGTTTATTTTACAAATATATCTGCCGTCAGACTGTTACAATTTTCAGCAATACTCAGAAACTCTTACTCAAAAGACCTTTACAAAAAAAATAACTTTTTCGGTGGACAAATAGTCTGGTTTTACGCTTCATTGTGTATATTGTTTACGGAAATCACTGTACGACGTTTAGCTAACAGGTTTTTCCACTGAAGTTCTAAACGTACAGATGTATTTTTAACTTAGGATTCTTAAACTTTCCAACAATGAAAATGTCCCCTTGAGACGTCGAAATGTGCCAACATTTGGCAACTATTCGTTAGAAAATCTCAGTCTACAAACTTTAGCTGACGGTTCAATGGTGCTTGTTATGTAATATAATACAATTTAGACATGGTACAAGTATTGATACTTATTTATTTATTAATTAGAATTATTGATTTACGAAATAAGAAAAAAATCTAGAATGACATGCGTCTTGTCCACTTTTCTAGAACAGAAGACTACTTCCGTGATTCACTGAAACGTCTGGAAACAACTATTGTATTTCTGTCAACATTGTTACGTGTGTCAATATCGAATAACATAATAATTGTAACTTTGTTAGCGATGTTAACACATCATAATTTTTTAAAGATTTATCGTTTAAAATGTAGATTTTTCTAAAGGTATATTATCTAGAAAGAGTTGCCCATGAAAAGTATAGTTGACTACTAATTTTCTTGTACTTTCGCTTTTATTCTTAGTAAGTAGTAGTTTTTTATTATTGAAATTTTTTCTGGTGTTATTTATGCAAAACAAATAACCATAAGCTTTCGCACATTATTCTATAACAGTATTATTAACGATAAATACATATGCGCATCATTTTTGCAGAACCATATTAAAAGGTTCGATCGATGACTTTTTAACAACTTCAACTTTTTTGTTAATGCAAATACAATATTCTTAAAGAATTATAAATGTATTTTTTCCGTCTTTTTATAAAGACACCGGTATTTTCGGTGTGTCTTGATAGTAAAAGTGATGGTAAAATCTGTTCACCGCAGTCCTTGCCAATGAAACCGTCACACAACTATTTTCATTTCTCTTTATCACTTTAACCTCTTGCATTATGATTCATTTTATGACCAAGTTTGCAAGAGATACGTAATTGTTAGCAATTTACCAACAATGTTCTATTTAATTCGTATTAATTAAGCATTAATTATATTTGATAAATTTAATTTAAAATGTTTATAAAGGTGTCTCATACAATACTCTAGTTAGCATTAATTATCACGTTAGTCGAATATATGGGTGGCACAATATTATTTGTTCAAAATTAATGATAATTTGATTAGAAGCTATCAGATGTAAGATAGTCGAGAGAAATAATCACCGTGATAAAATCTGACTTTTCAATTTTGCTGTCATTGAATCACGTGTTAGAATTTTAGAGGATTTTTACAAGCGCTGGGTTGTCAATCCCTAGCAGCTGTGAATTACGGGGATGAAATATTAATAGAAGTTTCTGCGAAGCAATCGGTGATTGAAAAAGTAGTAAGAAAAACCATTGATGTTTCTTTTCAGGTTCTCCTTGGTTGGGCAGGCGACAGGGCATGGGTAAACGCGTCCATTGTATATGCAGTGTGCATGGCATTCTGTGGTGCAGTAACGGCTTTGATACCCAAGGCGGTTAGAAATTACTACTTGTTGTGCGTAATTTCTGGTGCTTTCGGACTATTCATCTCGGCGAACTACAGTCTCACCAGCATCATCCTCGTCGAATTGATCACACTGGAGAGGTTCACGAACGCTTATGGCCTGCTGCTTTTGGTTCAGGGTGTTGCTAATCTCGTAGGTCCTCCGCTGGCTGGTAAGGGGCAAATTAATTTCCAACCTTTCTAATACTTTACATGCTACCTAAGGGACAGGAACTATGACATTCATTAGATACATTAGGCACACTAGCTTGCATAGTAATGATCACCACAGGTGGGATTAAAGTACATTACGAATAGGTTCGATTCTAACTGAATCATTTGGAACGTTTCTGGAATATTTCGAGAACGGAGAATAACATTTTCAAGTAGACTCAAAACCTAGATAAGATAGGTTCGAACTCTTTGGAAGTATTTTAAGAGGTTATGCAATCTTCGAAGCCTAAAAGAATTGACTGTATCTAAATGTTTCGTTGCCTGTAAGTATGTGGTAGAAACCAAGGTTTTTATGCGAAATATTCAAGAACATTTGAATTTTATTTTCATATTTTTCCTATTATTAAAAAGTACAAAACGGTAATGTCACACAGCTCTGCATTGATCGAGACATTCATTGTCGTTCATAAGCTGCCATTTTTTCACATTTTTCAAGATAATTACAAAATCTATTCTCTGAAGATAATCTAATTTCATTTTGCCGCATGAATGTTTTATTTTTTGGCGATAGGAAAGCTCTAGATACTGTCAAATTTGTAGGCTTCCAGAGTTGCTCGCTTAAAAATGTAAGTGGTAATTTCAAGTATAATGGAAGTCTGATCAGCTACTGTTTAATTTATTACGAGAACGTTTCATCAACTTACAAGTTCTCGAAATTAAGATACATTAAAAATCTGATAGATACTGTCGATTATCCGCATTTTACTCGTATTCAGAATTCGAGTAGTGGAATTTATTGTTGATAGTATTATTAGCAAGAAATACTTTAGTTGTTTATTTGAGAGCCTAAAACTAACGTGTATGACCGAATTACATTGCAAGTAAAGCGAATTTTCATTATTAAAAGTGAGTTGGAATTCCAAGTACTGCATTGAATTTGATCTTCTTTATAGTAATCAGAATAATACCGATCAATACTATCGATTCCAGATCGTAGGTTATAATACACCTTATTGAATATCATTGAACATGTAGCTATCGAAAAGTATGACATTGCTATTTGATATCTTTCGAAATAATAGATGTTCATTCGATACTGCACTAAAATATTAATATGCTGATAAGTAGGATTATATTTTATTGATTAAATAAAATTTGATTGATTGATTCATTAATTACTTACTGATTTACTGTTTCATGATTTAGGAAATCTTAGACTTAAATCTTATCTTTTTTTTTACCGTAAAAATATATATAACATATTTGTAGTTAAAAGTAATAAAGTGTAATGATCGAACAGTAAAACAATCCTGCAATGTGATTTATAAACAATTGAAACGTTTAGAGCAGATTGAAGAGGAGATGAAAAATAGAAAAGACAGGTATTAAAGTGTAAATGAACAAAAAAGGAAATGAAGAAACGGCATTAAGCTTCAAAGGGGTGGTTGAAATTTTATAATGTTAATAATCGGGTAAGATATGAATAATATCTCATCAAAAGGAGCATTTGTAGGTATAGCGAAAAGATAATTTTAATTAATGTTTATGTGTAATAAGATAGACATATATCATTTAACTTTGAAACGCAAACATTTAGATGCATTTTCTAGATGTGAGTGCTTCATATGTTTAAATATCATGACTGCAACAACAATCAATTAATTTCCACTGAAGTATACACTTCCAAGAAATACCCGTGGTGCGTATTAACTGTTCAATCCAATATTTTGTGGTTAATTAATAAATGGACTAATAAAAGAAACACATAAAAACGTACGGAAAAATAGAAATCGGAAAATGCCCTGTACCGAGAAACGGAACTTTTAATTACCTCAGATTTTCATTAACCCTAATAGTACCACGTGTTTTTATAACGAATCATACCACGATGTGACTCTCAGTCACTTATGAGAATAAAAAAAATGATTAAAATGTTATTGTTTTTGCTTATAGGACCAAAATTTTAGAAGTCTAAAAAAACTTTTGGAAATGCAATATGAAATAATCAAAAAATTTAAGTAAAAAGTTTAAATGTGACTTCATAGTCACATCATAGTCCGATTAGAGTTAAATGCGTGCCTTTCTACAAATCTAACTTTCAATAAAATAGCGATTGACTCATCGTAAACCACTTGAAATGACACATTGGTCAATGAGTTCACTTAGTGCGCATCCCCCTTAGACTTAGCAACCCTATATACTACTTCATAGCACGCACATTCACACTTAAAAGCCATAGAACACTTAGCATAACTTCATGACATTTTAAAAAAAGAATAATCGGAACTTGAGAAATTAGTTTCTTCGAAATATTTCATATAATTAAGTAGTCGCGTTTAAAACAACAATTTTAACAGTGGTATATTCAAAACTTGACCAAAGTCGTTAATAATAATAATTAAAGCTCGTCCACTCCGGTTTACTTCTTTACACAATTCGCCTATCGGAATAAAATTTAATCGAGTTGATCATTTCGCAGCTTATATTTTTATAGTGCCTTCCAAGTAAATAATTATAAATAATTGTTACGAACTTTATTCAAAAGTTATTCGAAATAACGAATATGCAATGATAAATAAATTTGATCTGATCGTTATATACGAGTAACGAATAATTAATATATTCGCTATTCGCCCAAACATTGGTCGAGGATAATCGCATATTTCTGTAATATATGCAATTATTGTTCTTTCATCAATATTTTCGTATAATTAAAATTTCTCAAAACAGGCAAGTATAAAAAATAGATGACTTTTGAGTAAGAGTGTACTTTCATTTCCACATACACGCATGCACACATCGTGTTAGGATATAGTACTCATAACGTTTTATACACAGACACTTAACCTAAATTCTCATAAACAATACCTCGTTTAAGAACGAATTAATTGCTTTTTATTGTTGTCATTATTGCGGGCATATTTTCTATACCACCGATTTGAATTCGTTCAATGATAGGTACTCTAGCAGTGAGCAATAAACAAAATATTCAATTTACATTAAACAATTCCAAACTAGTTATTTTCACCATTTCTTAATTTTAGTGTTAATTACAAAAAAGTGGGTTCATTGCAGAAGATATTGTTCAAAATAATAATTTCATAAACCATCAACTGAAATTGCTTTCCTTGTAATTGTATTACAATGTATATTTTCCTTAAAATAATTAAGTCTCCATTATTTAATAGAAGGTACTGTATCTGGAACAAGTTTGCGATTATGGTCGACAGCTTACAGTGCATTCACTAAGATTTCCATTAACTTATATTTTATTTTCCCTATTGCCAAATCAATTTATTCAATGATTTTTCAAAAAAACCGTTTATATCTTTTGAAAAATTTCAAGCAAAGAAATTTGGTATGTATCATTCTGATCTATTTAGTATCTCTAGTGGTAAACATAATATATGTATGAACGTCACTTCAATTAATTTATCAACGAATATTAATAAATTTTTCAAAGGCCGCGTTCTTAAAATAATTCATAAAAGTCAGAGTTCTCAGGAGAATACTGCAACCCGAAAATAATGAGACGAAGCAGATTATGACCGTGTTCCTAGAACGAATGTAGGACACCAACAATTAGTGTTTGGTGCATAAAAGGCGCGGCAGAAGTGATTGGAATCTCTCGTTCTTCCGCTTCAGGGATATTTGAAAATTTCTGGAGCTGTACTGAATTCATTTGATTGCTGAAGGCTATCGGATGATTGTTCTCACCCTTGGTCTGCTCCGGTATTGTATTATATCTACAGACGTACGCAGCCTCGTAAACAGGGAAGCAAGCTGGCATGACGTAATAATAAGAGTCGTGTCTCATATGATTCACAATCGGGGATGTGGCCTTGAGCGGTCAATTGAATCTGATCCGATTATAGTGGACACTTTAAACAGAATTCTTTTTAACGGGTCACCATGTCGTTTTCCAGTTATATAAGACACCTAGAATCTCTTAATTGTTTTATCGTGATAAAAAACAGTGTGTATTCCTGTTTCTCTCGATATTTCGAACGTTTATTAGTGCTGATCATTTGAATGGGGTTGCGGGTATGTACCACAAAGGGAAATCGACGATGTTTCTTCGCTGTTTCTTTTAACACTTTTGTTTGTTTTCACGATCAATTTCAACTTTAAGATCGAAGACCAAAATTCCTCATTCCAGATCTTACAATAGATTGAAATAGATATTAAATTTAGGAGAAAAAGTTATTTACATCTAGATTGTAACGCATATATAACATGTTTACAATTAAATTGCCGAGTTTGAAACAATTCAAATTAAGGAACATTCATTGTCGATAGTACTTCCAGTTTTTAATTTTTAATTTTTAATATTACAAGGATTAAAATATTGCAATGTATTCAGCAAATAACTTACGAAATAATAAAATAAAGGAATTCAGAATATAGAACTTTATGGAAATGTACGAAATAAAGAAACATAGAATAGTATTGAAGTATTTTGATTCCGTTTTAATTGATTTCAAGTAAGTGACGAATCATTATGGATAAAATCCTAGACATCATACAAGTGGAAAAAGGAATACACATCTGTCAATTGTAATATCACAACATACTATATGTATTATTATCGTTTTTATATCGTATTATGATATAATGACGTATTGTATATTCTGGTAATAGTAGCGCAATTAACGTACCTCGGCTATTTTCATAAGAGTAACAAATATTGCTAGAAATGTATATTTTGAACAATTTTTTCCTCTGACAAAAGCGTCGCTATTTTTTAGTTTCCAAGGTAATCACGAAAGATTGTCGCTACTACTATGTAATTAACTTCTGTATGCATAACCGTGTAAATATGAGATAGTCACAAGTATAACCGTATGCTAGCCACTTTGGTAGCGGCTTAAATCAATGAGCGATTGATCTTCTCTAGTTACTTTAGTGTCGTACGTACTTTTGTACATACAGTAGGTCTCACATTTTGACGGACTACCTACAAGCAAAAAACCCATGCTTCTACTTTACTATTCTGGGACTTTTGTGAGGGAGAGTACAGTGCAGCTTTCAGGTTCCCGATCGCGATCTAAAAGCTAAAAGTGTAGTTACGACAACAGCGACGCCTCAGTTTCGGCGTGTCCTTGTTATTGGCTGAGTCGCGCCACAAAGAACGCACGCGAAACGGAATACGATGAAGTGAGATGTATGTATACGCCTCTCGCGTTAGCGCCATCGACCCCCGAGCTAAAAGTGCACAGCGGCAAGGGGACTCTTCCACTCGCGATTCTCGGGCCGTCTCAGCTTTCGACGCATGGTCAGTATTGGCACGCGGTAATAACAAAGAACGAGGGAAAAGAAAATTCTCTATAGTTTTGTATCACTCCGTCGCATTCAGACTCGCTTCCGTCCCTTGTTACTGCTGCGTGGCAATAATGTCCCCTTGCTTCTGTGCACTTTTAACTTGAAGGTCGATGGAGCTAACGCGAGAGGCGTACAGTAAATGGTATGTACCGTCCGTTGCAGCGAACCTGGCACTCTCGTCTGAGTGGTCAGATTCGAAGGCCGTACGTATTTTCGGCTTTGGTACTTGTATGATTCGCTGAGGCGCTCGCGCACACTAATCGGGTCGCGTAACAAAAAGCTGGAGGAGCCATTATCGAACTCGCAATTGAACTCTTCTCGGAACCGCAAAGAAGGGATAGGCGGACTTACCGAGCGATTGTTTCTATCCCTATGACGAGTGTCAGGTTCGTTGCAACGAACATACAAATTGGCGTCGAATTTCGTTTCTGTGCGGCAGCGAACACGGAGGCTTGGCTACCATGTTTCTTGGAAGAATCCAGCTGGAGCGTGCGGCCGATTCCCTTTGCCCCTGTGCACTTTTAGCTTTTAGATCGCTGTCGGGGACGTACAAGCTGCATTGTACAGTCCAACTCTGACGAGATGACAGGCTACCCGCGAACGATCACGTCCGAGCAGCAAGACGACTTTTCCACTCACGATGTCGGGCTGCCTCGATCTTCGACGCGTGGTTGGTATTGGCGCGCGGCAATAACAAAGGACGGAGTCAGATGTAACGATAGAAAATGAAGCTGGCGGCACTACGACTTTGGTTTTTATCGTTACATTTCACTCTGTCGCATTCCGTCTCGCTTCCGTCTTTTGTTACTGCGACGCGGCCAATACTGACCACGCGTCAAAGACCGAGTGTATTGCCGCCCGGACTTGTCGCTCGCGGATAGCGTACCATCTCGTCGGAGCTGCATTGTAGCTACGTAAAATCTGAGAAGATCCAAGACTGAACTGACGAACGTGCGGCTATGTTTATGGTTCTCTCATAGACACGCTCACGTATAGAGATTTCAATGTAGTGGTAACAAAAGTTTTTCGCGATTGTCTTGAAAACTAAAAAATAGCGATATGTCTGTCAGAAGAAAAAGTTGTTGAAAATATGCACTTTTACCAACATTTGCCAGTCTTATGAAATTAGACGAGGTACGCCACTTGCGCTATTATGACCAGTTATTTTTAAACAGGTAATAGAGTTGCAGATCTTAGAAATTGGTTAATTAATTTGCGAGCACGATAATTCCACAAACTTTAATAAACGAATCTTTTACATTTTCCATCGTAAATTGATTGAATAATTTGTAAGAAATAATTTATAGGAATTAGGTTGATGAAACGTTATTAAAATTCCATTAGCATAAATTGGAGGTTCCAGGAACAGAGTAAAATAGTATTCGATTCGATTGTTTCAGGATGGCTGTACGACATCACGGGCTCGTACGATCTGTCCTTTTACTTGGCCGGCTTCTGCATCGCGCTGAGCGGAATTCTGCTGCTGGCAATGCCTTTAATTAGCCTGTATCGAAAATGCGTAAACGGATCGAAGAAAGAAGAAACCGATAAAGATTTTTCGAGCGTGAACAGCGTTTAAATTAGCCAAGGCTCGTCGGGATCGATCCAGAGCGAAGAAGAACTGTAACCGACGAACCAAATATACGCTTGTTGATATACTACTATTGATCCAACGGAATTTATGGAATTAACACTTCCAATGAAAACTAAAAGGAATTGCAACTCGTCACCACACTATTCGTTTCGAATAACCGCGGGGGCCGTTCACTTCATCCCGCTGTAAAACAGTCACGACGGTTTTACATTTTATTAAAACGTTTGTGGTTCCTTCGTAGTATAGCGAATTGCGCGTGTAAGCGTGATCGATTAATGTGTTCGATGTGATCGACCCACGAAAACGTTAAAAAACGTACTCGAGTCATCGGTTTTTTACTACGGAAATATGTCCATTTTTAATTTCGATCACGAAATTTAATGGGAAGCTATCGGATTCGAAAAAATGATTGAGAAATAAAAATATCAAAGAGAATTAATTAGTTTGTTCCCAATCTACGAGTGAATAGAATCATCTGTTTCGAAATCATATATAGACAAGATGAAAGAAGCTATGCGTTGATCTCTTTTAGGGGATCATTAAGTTCGAGCATCGTTCGCGAAGAGTTTCGTTTTGGTCTTCAATTGTTGAACATTGAAAACACTTTGAATCTCAGGATAAACGCGAATGATGAAACTGATAAAATGATCGATCAAGTGGTATCCGTTTTACATATTCAAGAAATTAAATTTTTGTTCTACCATCTTTTTTCCTTTTTCTTTTTTGTAATATTTTTTGCCTATTTTTCCCTCGAAGCGTTCTGTTCTGTGTAAAATTCATTCATTTCGATTTAAGCATAAAATCTGACAGGTTATTTGCAAAATAATGCCAAAGATATCACTGTAAATAGTTGTGTGTCACGCGAAGATAGTGGTGAGGTGTTACTTCGAATAATGTAGCGTTAAAATATTTTTCTCATTTTGTTAATTTTATTGTTAATTATGAATTATTAATCAGAAGGCACACTGGTCACATTCACGCCCATCTTATCGTCGCGAAGGTATCGTGTGACGCGCGTGTTTCGTTAAACACACGTACGTACATGCGGTTTTTCGTTAACTTTTCTTTTCTTCCAGTCTCTAACAAAGGCAAAGATAAGCGTGACTGATGAAATAATGAGCCGAACCACGTTCATTCGGGCGTTCCTCACTGAATTCTCCGTTTCGTTTTTGGTTCGTGTGCGTGGTCGTGCGTGCAAATTACGTTTGAGAAAGGAAAAACACAAAGGGAGGAGGAAAACACGAATGTAAATAGGCGTATATGTATATACGATACGTGTATATAGCTTTTCTGTGATGATGAATCTGAATTTTATGAACTTTTCGAGCTGTAAGTAACAGACTAATACCTCCGTTTCCATACAGTGTGCGTGTGTGCGCGCGTGCATGCTCACCGAAGCACGTTTCCAGTTCGTTCGCACCGCCATTTTGTTTGCTCGAGCAACACGAAGCAATTACAGTATGTAATAAGTTTTTAGTTCTGGTACAGTATCCGGAAATATTTCATTCAAATTTAACGTATCGGGGCCATTTTGAAACGTTGAAACTGGAAATGACAATCTTTTTCACTGAAATGAACCTAATCTAACTTCGAATCTAACTAATCAAATTTTTTGTTCTGAAAGTGCCATTTCGGTGGTATTTTAGATCGTTATACCGACCATTTTTCTGTCGACCAATTTACTGATTGTTTGAGTTTGGATTACATTTTCTTAGGAGAAGATGCAACAGGAAAGACTTCATCCACACGCTCGCATTTGAATTTTTAATTACTACAGACATTCAAGCTTACGTAACTGTCACAAAGAACCTTACACACCGTTAATTTATTTAAACTTAGACTAGGATTTAATATACCGTCACTAAAATAAATAAATTCACTTATTGTAGTTATTTATTTATTTTAATACTATTAAATTCTAACGGATCCGAAATTATCTAAGAAAAATAATGAGCGGTGTCGCAGGCGTTTTTTATAGCAGTTAATTGTTAATTTTCCAGAGGTTTGGATTTGAAGCGTGTGTTGGTAAAAATAAGACATTTGGAAAGAATGCGGGTCTAATTGCTCAGAATGGAAGGAGACTTGCATATAGTCACATGATTTTTCAGCTGTAACGTCTCATTTGCCAAAATGATTGTACAATATATGCGGATCCGACCGCGTCTTATGTAGAGTATACAAAACAGCACACATCAAAAGATTCCTTAGGTTTTTAACCTTAAGGTTAGATTCAAGTTAGATTTGGATTAAGTTTATTTCCATACAAACAGACTGATTCTCGACTTGAGCGATTCAAAAACCGAAATGACAAATTTGAACCAAAAATGTTCTCTCCCGGATACTATACTATATTCTATTTTTGTTTAAATACGCGCGATTGTTAGTGATCATTGTTTAAACTTCCGGCGACTAAAAGATCGTCTGGATCCATCGATCGAAGAAGAAGAGCGAAACAGACTCCCGAAATTTCGAAGCAGCGCTCCGAACAAAGTGCGCGTTTACCAACGATTAATTTTCCTTTCGATTAACTGTCACACAGCCTTAATTGCTAAATAACGTAACGTTGTCTGTCCTGAACCGCGGCGCGCGTTAGTTGTATCCATCGCTAGGAAATCGAGTGACGAATTTTCGGTGGAGGATACACCGTATATGGCAGCTGAATTTTTGTAATGAAATTTAATGGTAAGAAAAGTAAATTACGATAATCGAACATGGACGATACATTTTATTGAATAAATACTGACCTAAAATAGTATTTCGTAAACATGGAAAACCGAAATAAAATATATTTTATTTTGACTATTATATTTGGTGCTTTTGTGTTTTCTCATCGATCGGATGGCCGCTATTTCGGATTATTTGATTAATCTTACTTTTCATACTTCGAATAAGGTTTTCATGACAGATCTTCTGTGTTGTCCCCGTACTTGGACAATAACTGATTTCACTGTCAGATTATACTAATATTTACACGATTATTAGAAAAAATACGCTACACCAACATGCTCTACAGAGCTTCCATGGGATTTAAATACAACATAGATTTGGATTTTAATCATTTGGTTTGGAGTAATCTCTCACGCATGATTGAAATTTTCGTTTAAAAGTTTCAAAAACTTTCTACTCGTCATTCCCTATTATTCTATATAATATAATGTTATTCTTTCATAACTGCAGAAACAATTTAATTGTTTTCAAAAAATGAAACGGACACACATGGTTCATTCGATCGTTGATTAACTTTCAACCCAAGTGATTAAATTTTGAAGCGGTAACCAGTTATTATCGAGTATATTAATATAATTATGTTGATTCTGCGTAAAGTAAAATTAATTGATGATTTTCCGTGGGTCGAAAAGGATGATTTTGTTTATTACAGAGAATAGCTGTCTTTTACAATTAAAGATACTATACATAGGGAGTTTATTAGGATACTTTTAGCGTTTTATATTCAAATAAAATGAAATTTTACTACAATCTTGTACGAAAAATTCGTGCAGCCGCTAGCTGGATTACCTATGACTAAGTCCCTCAATAATTCACGATAGTTACTAACAAGGTCCATCTTTCTACGAAAGGAGAGGAGTCACGTGTTGTCTTAAATGTTTTCATTCTTACGCGTGCGTCAACGAATAATGTATTATGAAGTTTCCTAATTTTCCACTAAGAATCCACTAGGAATCATTTTAGAAAAATCAGTTCTAAATACGTTGTTATTCGGATAATGTTTAATTATATAGATTGTGCGACAGTTTTACAGTTACTCGTATTGACCTTTCGTTTACTTATTCAGTTAGTTGCAGTTTATTTCTTTCTATTTCAGAGAAATCTGAAACATAAATATTTAAACACGTATGTAATTACTGTTCACCTTTTCCGTGCGTAGCAGCGGTCTAAGGTTCGAAAGTGCACAGGGAGAAGGGGAGACGTCCACTTGCGACGCTCGGCTCGGTAGTTATGGCGGCTCAGTTTCGGTACGCTTTGTTATTGGTCGAGTCGGGAAACAAAGAATACAATCGAAGCAAAACGCGATGAAGTGAAACATACTGGCGCCGAAATTCTTTTCTGCGCGGCGGTGACAGCTTTTTATGTTCATCGAATCTCGGAGACACGGAGGCCTGGCTACAATGTTTCTTGGAAGGATCGAAGTAGCGTGCGACCGATTCCTCTTGCCCTTGTGCACTTTTAAACCTTAGGCTGCTGCTATGACGGAAGAGGTGAAAAACAGCACTTCTATAGCAGCGTTTCTCAAGTTAGGAGCCTCGGTTCGATATCAAATCTCGTTTTCTTAATAAATCGCAAATTGATGGTAGCTACTGAAGAGAAAAAAATTGATTAATTTGTGAAAGATTTTTAAAACATGATTTTTGTCGTGTTGAAACAAGCTGTCCTATTTAAAATCGTTGCTGTTCCATTCATCCATAGACAAATTCAAATAATAAAACACGAAATTGTAGGAAGCATTTGTTAGAAGTTGGTTTAAATTGCTCTTGGTAGAAATGTTACTGAATGTTATTTTTCACGTGTAAAGCTTATCGTGAAGTATGTATAATTCCGTTCGTTTATGTACTATAAAAAGGTTAGACTCTGTTCTATTAAGTTCTTAGAAGTGTCACATTATCCAGGAAGGTTGAGAAATGCTGTTCCATAGTACCGAATATAATACCTATATTCCGTAATCATTTCATATCTGAAAAATCTATTTTGATTATCACAAAATTCTTCTGGCACAGCTCACGTACGGGAATGCTGGATCGTTCCCTAGATCGCTCACAATAAGCCAATGCTCGTCGATAGATCAATACTGCGGAGCTAGTTGGAGATACGTGTATTGTGATGAATAATAGGAATGAGTGACACAGTTATACTTGAATAGTTAGAACGAAGTGTGATGTCCGTGTGTTACAAATGTTTCGTGTGCCTGGGTGTTGATTGTTCGGTGGTTAATTGTGTTCTGCTTGATTCTATGTACGAGATTTGCTCGAAGGTTGGCGAGATTCGCGTTTCCATTTGGTATACGTTAATTGTGGTTAGTAGCGGTGGAAGTGTGGAAGTAGTGGTATAAATGAGGAGGGAACGCTCTTATAAGGGTATCCGAAGCGACAACTATTGTTCTCGATCGAACTTTGATAACAAGTGATATTATTACAAGATTATTTCACGTGTACTTTCTTTTATTAATCGTTTTCCTTATTGGAGAGGTAGCAGCAGATGACAAAGTTGAGAGTACAGAATATGTTTCGTCATCTTGAAATTACTAGAACTAGAAAAATGTTGCAAACGATAAGATCATATATTTTGCAATAAGAAATCTGGTTGTATAAGGTAATTAAAAAATGTTCATTTATTTAAATAGTGTATTAAAAAGTTGAAGGTTTCGATTAATTATGTAATTTAAATATTAATATCTATTCTCCCATTAAGTTTATGCGTGAAAAGTATATATTTGAATATAAAATTTCTAGTTTTGCATTTAATTTGAAATTTCCATGATACTTTAAGTAACCATGTTACGTTATTGCTTAAATGTTGGAAAAATGAATGAACATTTTATTAAAAAGGTTATTTAAAGATCCTGTTTTTCTAATGTTTTATTTAGATATAAAAAGGCTTTTTAATCATCTTGCACAGCTGGATTTCTTATTAAAAAAATACGCAGTTTTATAATTTACAACTTTATTTTAATTCCAGTTTCAAGATACTCCATTAATATTTTCCTCACCCTTAAGATTAACGACTGCTTTTTAATTCTTTGCTATAAATAATAACAAACACGGTGGGGAAAGGTGTGTTTGTTAAGGATTTTTGTGAGAAATACTTTTCAGAGCCGAGTTCCATTAAAATTGATGGTTGTCACTTTGGCATGCTCCTCTGTTAGGTACATAGACCAATAAGGCAGAAAAGATCCCTGAGAGGTTGAAGATAAAATAAAGATTTTATAGATCTTTTATTAAGCACTTCATTTTAGTGTTTTGAATATTTGAATACCGCTCAGAGTCATACAATTCGTAGTCTAGTTATGTGATACGATATGAAACATTCACTGAATCATTCGAAATTCGAGGCTACGTCGATTTTGAAACAATAGCAACTTTTAATATCGTTATGGAATTTTATAAATTTAGAAGCTATACAACATTCGAAACTACGGAAAACAATATTAAGGATACTCTAACAAAACTTTATGCAAAATCGCTTTCCTCCAACAGTTATCCTATACTTTACCCCTACTCTTTTTCTACATAATAGAGATTGTTTGTTCATGTGCTTAAATTGATCTTCACGAAATTCTTTCAGCGTTACTTTGGATATTTCGCGAAAAATTGTTTCAACCTGTAACTCATTGTCAGTTACTGTTCTAGTTACAGTAAAACATCATAGGAGGAAAATGGTGCATGCACAACTTGCAATTGTATTATTTTCTTTAAAATAGAAATGTATACTGTTTCGTACTTAGACAGATTGACCTCGTTATTAGATGTAAAAAGTATTGTGGTTCAATGGTACAAAATTATTAGTTACTCAGATATTTTTCTTGTTTCCATCCATTCTTCTCGTCTGGCATTTTTCTGTAACTGGAACGGTAACAGAGTTATAACCTGAAACAATTGCCACCAAAACCAGCCTGTATAGGTGGAATTTAAAAGCCCTAAAATTGAATAGTAGTACGTGAAACCTCTCAAAGCAGATGCAGTTTTTCAAAAGCGTTCGTACATTTAAACAAATTTTCTTTTAATGAGTCTTGTCTAGGGTATAACTTTAAAAGAGGCCTTTTTACGAGAATATTTAAAAGTATTTTCCTCCGTAAAGTAAGAAACTTCATTGTTGGTAATGAATCTTTGCAGAATCTTTCAGAAAAAGCACCGTAGATTTTTAAGATTTATGATGTCTGTTAAAAAGCAGATATATAATACATTGAAAATTCGAATGACAAGAGAAAACGTCAATGAACAATAAATTTGGAGGCAAGTTATATTGTTTGAATCAAAAGTACTTTAGCAAAGAAAGGGAATTAAAAATAGACAAGTATTAAAATTATTGTAACGCGTATTTATCAACTAATAAATAAGTTATGTCACAATGATGGCTCTCTGAAAAGCTCGCTTACATTAAAAACGGAAGAGATAAAAGAAAGACGAAGATAATATTTAGAATTTTGCTCATGAAAGTATACAGAAAAGCTACGAACATGCGAAAAAGTTCAATCTTTAACAAATTCTATATTCAACAACATATATACATACTAACATAATTAACAATAAAATTATAAAAAGTATCTGAATATTAAAAAGTATTTAACATAAATAGGATGATTTTTCAGAATGATTACTCAGTATATACGTAACATATTTGTAAATTTTAATAATTGCTTGTATCTAACATTAGGCGATATTATGGCAGAAAATAAACGTTCGAGACGGAGGTTTTTCAAATTCACGATGAACAAAGAAGAAATTTATAAAATACAAGGCATAAAGCAATATATGTATATACGTATATGCATTAAGTATTTATGTAAATATGTCTTTTTTTATTTTGGTGAAACAGTAAGTAAACGAAGAAAGAAAATCATAATAATGTGTACTTCTGTTTATACAATCATATATGTTTAAAGGGGACTCGTGATTTCTAATAAAAAAAAAATCTAATTTTAGTTTGACTTCTAGCAGTGATCATGGTATGGAATGAAAACATGGGTCAACAAATTATTTATAATGTTTTCGTAATTATGAAAACCTAGCTTATAGTTTCTCTTGTGTTAAAGAATATAACTCAATAAAATTTCTCAAATTGTTCCAACTATGTTCAGTGTCCCATGAAAAAAATCAAATAACAAAACTTACGTATCGTGTAAGTGATACATACTTTGCTTTGTACGTATATTTCTTTTCATATTTACATACTGAAATTTGTATGTATCTTATATTTGATTCTAATAATATTTTAACTCAAACAGTAGAAAGGATATATCCCGTTTAAGGACTTTCTTGGTTTTTGTTAATATCAAAAATAAGAAATACTACAATACGATTGATTTAGAAGTCGGTTTAAAACCACTTACACGATCGTGACATGTAATCATTGAAATCGAGCTGCTTACGATTGCTGGAAAAAAATTGATCGTGTCTCGAGGAATCCTACATACGTAACTGTATGTACAAAGTTAGAAATGAACGTGTTCTTTCAACTTCAGAGAAGAAGTCAGTTAATTTCGAGTTCCAGGTTCTCGACGCCTCCACAAGGATGTAAAAATTTAAACGATGTTCGGAAGATAAAAATTTACGGATCCTTTTTCTGAAACACTCAGTACACGAATATCACCGTTTACCTCGTATCTCTACGTATAAAGCTATTGGCAGGTTTTGCCGTTCGATAATCTGTTCTCCGGTTTTGGTGTGCTAAATTAGTCTACGGCGCAATTGCTCGTGTTTATGGTAGCGTGATTCAGCGAGGTTCGCGGCCTTACAGGCGTTTACGAAACGTATGCACTATTTTATTATGGAAACAAATAAAAAATAACAAACAAATAAACAAACAAAGAAATCGTGCACTTCGAAATACAATATTATACGAAATTAGATCGGCCAACTGAGAACCTGGTTGGCCGATCGTCGTCTTTAGCGTAAGTAGTTTTTAAGGGCAAGAATGACGCGAGGCGGAGATTTTTTGTAAAAACAGAATATTCGCGCGGGAATATTTACAAAATAATTGCCACTACGCAAGCGATCCTTTCTATCTACGTGTACCCGAGTACCGTCAGTTTTACAGACGTTTGCTATACGTTTCTAATTTAACCAAGTACCAAGTCGAAGTCAATATTTTCCACATCTCGAAGATTTCTCTTCTCGAGTATTGTTCAGTAATCAGAACGTTCCCACGATTTTCCTTAGTGAATAAGGTGTCTTGTTACCGATCGTTAACAACCTCGAAACAATCGCTTGAACGTTTGTAAGTGGCTTATGTCTACGCAAAGATGCTCGATGAAAAGAGAATAAGAGACGATAAGAGAATAATTGCGTCAGGAATTTCTTTCACGCTGTAAAACAGGGAATTCCGGACGGTGCCGATCTTTCAGTTCTACATATTTACAATTAAAAAGGCGTGCTACAAGTGTCGCTTGCTACGTGGTCCAAGAAAGAGCGATCCCTGTTATCGCTCGTTATCTGGACTTTCGTGAGCGGTTTCTTTTTAACACGACAGAAATTCGATGTATACAGTTTCATGTGATATCAATTTATTATTACGAATAGATTGAAATACAAATAATAAATCTAATCGACTCTATGTTTTTCTTACTTATTTTATATTGAATTCTTCTAACGTGAATTTCTTTGTTCAGTTATTATGATAAGAAATAACAGTTTTAACTATATTATTTGTGAGTGAATGAGCAGTATGTGCCTAACAAGAAATAGACCGGTAATGGTTATTAAGTGAATTTTTTTTTTAGAAATTTCACCGCCTACGATTGTCCAGCTGAAAGAACGGTTCTGTCGCAGTTACAGGCAACTTGTTCCATTGTAACACACGACTACACGACTATACGCAGGCACTCATACATACAAACATTCACATATATACGTATACTATTCACACGTACAAAAGTATAAAAAATCTTATTTCAATTAAAATAAAAATGAATTACAACCATATTAGTGTTTGTTTTCCTTCGTAGAACCCACTATACCTTGCCATCTATGAGTTTGCAATAACTTTTTGCATTTTTCAAGATGAATAAGAGGAATCGATAATTGATTGAAGGGTGACATATTTACATAGTATTTATGGACCAAATATCATTGGATAAGTTCTATGTGATACATGTAAAATACGGCCCTGGCGAGAAAGCAGGCTACCCGCGAGCGATCAAGATCGAGCAGCAAAACGACTCTTTCTCTCGCGATGTTTGGGCCGCATCACGGTTTTTTATGAAAACTGAAAGAGTTCGAGATTTTTGTAAGATATGTTCTCGAATTTCTAATTAACACGTTGAATGCCGCATGATTCCATAGAGCAAAATACACAAACTGGAAAAAATATAATATTAAATCATCTGATTGAGTTGCATTAGATAGTAGTCACCGCATTAGATAGTAATATTTGTAATATAGAAATGTTTACAAATAATCATCGTTCAATTGAATGAACTGTAGTTATTCGATCTGGTTAGGGGTCACCGGTGACCCTCACGGCATTCAACGTGTTAAATCAGCTCTACGAGAATATAGTTTTTGGGAGAAAGATATTTTATAAAATGGTGTCGCGAAGAAAAGTTCAGTCATTGTTTTAATAATTTTTCCTAATACTTACTAATGCTTTCGAAAAGTATAGATATACAGTGTGTGTAACAAGTATCAAAAAGGGCGTGGAAAGTGTTCTGAAGAAGTTGCCGATAGTATTTTGAAAACACACTAAGCAGGGAAAGACTGTTACTGCACGAAGAACAAGAATTTCCATCACGTTCAATGCTTGATTTAACAATTAACCCCTTGCCTTAGAATAACCTTGTCAGACACGTGGTGCAGATTTCAAGCAGAATTGAATTAGCACGGAGGTTTGCTCGATCCTTTTGAATTCAAATTAAATATTATTCTTCTGTTATCCTTAATAAATCATTAATGAAAAAAGTAGTTGTATCGATCGTAGCGGAGAAGTAAATCGTAGGGCAAGGGGTTAAAAAGAAGTTAGATCTGATAGAAGACATTACTCCAATAAGTTTGTGTGGTAGCACAATTCATTTTTATGTTGAGGATCTTTAGAAATTGAAAAAAAGTAAAAAAAACTTTAGAATTGGAGTTATTTATGTAGAAAACATTCCACGGAAATTCACCTCAGTGTTCAACAAATTATTTAATGTACATACTTATCAAAGTAAAGAAAAAGGAAAGTCTGAAATTCTGCAGATTTATAGACATTCAATTCTTTATTTATTCCATTTATTTTAATAGTATTAACTAATGCTTTAGTTTTTGAGGATAGAAATATTCTTTAGTAATGTTTTTTATTTTCATCTTTGAAGAACTAAGAAAATTTTAAACACGTTGGAGTTTTCAAGTTACCGAAGTGTTCTAGCTATAGTACGATATAATAACTGTTGTGCTTTTTCTACTTTATTATGAGCAAGCGCAAGGATTAATAATATTATTATAATACAGTGTAAAATAACGCGTGGCTTAGCAAATCAGATTACAGGTTTGAAAATCTATTGCAATCACAGATTTAAATTCAGGAAAACTATTTTAATTGTAGCATTTTGAGGATAAATTTTGAGAAAAAAAGGAGAAAATAAATTTTTTTGTTCAATGTAATCGAATTATTACTAGAAAATGAGTTTCATTGATTTGTATTTCAGAGTAGAGTTAAACCGTAATGAAGGCACAGAAGCGATCAACATGATGCAATACAAAAGATAACATTAAACAAATAAACATGTATAATTCGTTTAGACGTGAGTTTATGGTTAATCAAAAAAAAGCGGAAGGTAAAAACGCACACGAAAAATGCGCACAATAACAAAGACGTGCCGAAACTGAGCCGCCATAACAATCGGACCGAGCGCCGCGAGTGGACGTCTCCCCTTGCCCATGTTCACTTTTAAGCCACAGGCTGGCTGGGTTCACGCCAGTAACGCACTGTGCCCAGATATGAGAGATATTGTTTATTCTTATATAAGAAACAAAACAGGTCCCGCCAATAGACCTGCGATATTTAGTACACTACGGGGTCCGGGTGCTCATCGGCCTGTGTCATCGGCCTAGACATATACAGTGAGTCACAAAATTATTGGCACATGCTGGAAGTTAACGGAAATATGAAAAATAAAATACGTTACGTGTGTTGCGCCTGGAAGATCCGTAAAATCAATATTTAAATTAGTCCCCAGATAAACCGAACGTTTTTAGCGAAGCTGACCCATAGCAGAAATAACTTTATGATACCATTGAAAACATTCCTTTTTTTTACAGTCTGTCTAGAGGCAACAGTGCCTTTTTTACTTTATACTGGGATTAGTATTTTTACGGTAGTTTCCTCAATTTGGCATATTCTGGTAAATTCAAAGAGTATCATAAACGTACTCCCTGCTAGGGTCGAGGCCTTGAGTATTTTCCGCATACGTCACTCCTCGGTGCTCGTACTACCTGAGGACAACCGTTAGATTGGAGGCGGTTACCTCGCAAGACTTGTGTCAACCCTTAACCAATGAAATAAACCGACTGCCTTCCCTTCACTGATTCCAAAAAATCCAAACGAACCAATCGGCGCTTTTCACCCCCATCGCTATTTCTTCACCGAGGAAATTTAAAGGAAGGTTTCTTCCCGGAAAAACAGAACCGTTTTGAAATTTCTGAAATGTAAATCAAGAAAGGACAGCCGAGTTTGTCACCGAAATAGTGTCACCATCAACTAATAAAAAATAACGTGTTCTTCGGAGTTAACTCTAGATCACTTCGGAGTGATCTACTTTAACGCACGAAATTGTTACATTCCGTTTCTTCATAACTATAAATAATAATATTGTTAGTCTAAATATTATGTTTTTTTTTTATTAAAAAGTATTGAAAGTTCTTTTATTATGTTTTTGTTTTTCATATTTCCGTTAACACATGGGGTCCTTCCTCTTAGACCTTCACAACGAGTACAAGGAGGTAAAAGATTTTCCCTTTGTCCCTCTACTTTTGTTTGAGTCATAGGCCGGCTTGGCTAACGTGAAATCCCTAACCCTTTGCGGTCTGAAGTGCTCTTGGTTTCTCACTTTGAGGTTCACGTCGACGTTAGTTCATTCAATTACATCTTAATATGACGCTCTATTTATTTATTCAAGAATATTTGGGAGTCATTGAAATGTTACCTTTAAATGGTACAATTATGATACTACAAATAAATATAGAAAAAATTGTTAAAATGGGTAGAGGTTGCAATAAAATAGAATATGTCGAGTCTGACTCGATATAGGGCTGCTAAGGGCTAAAGTACATCATAAATCAGTCTGCTACTCCCACAAGTTTTAAATTTACTATATACTTATTTAATTGTTTTTGTATTATATGCATTGCTACTTGAACCTACTTATTTCCGGGATGCGAGAGAAATTTCTATTTCGATTGTAAGTACTACCTGACCGCCTGTAAGAAGCTAGCGAACGCTACGTCGACTTTTCGGACCTCCACTCTTACCCTCTCTACTGTTATTTACGGGAAAGATGGTAAATATGAATGGCACACTGGCCAAATCGATTAACTCCATAAAATAGAAGGTGAAAAAAAGTGATAAAATAATATACTGTTTTCTAAAATTCCTTTTAAATTATAAATTCAAATAAACAGAGTAAAATGCATTACTACCGATGTATCTTTTATCTAACGACACATAAAATGTACAAAATAGAATATCCGTGGAGTGATCTTATTATTACTACAATTTCTGTATGATTAAGGGAATTAATCGATTTGGCAAGTGAAGAAAAGATCAAATTCAATTTTGACCTTTCTATATTACATTGAAGATTTTTTCTCTTTCTTAAAAATGGACACTCAAATTGGAACAATTATTTAAAAATTCACAAGTAATTGTTTCAGTGGCAGTTTGCCTGTAACACATTAAATATTTTTCACATTTTATTTGTTTTTATGATAATACAACAACAATAAACAATTTACTTTTATCTTTCGTATTACATTATTACATTAAAAAATTCTTAATTAATTTTTATCACGTATTAATAAAATTAGCAAAGATTTAAATTGGAATATGGAATTATTTAGATGAGCTTCTGAAATAAATAATTTAACATTCAATGCTCAACAAAATTTTGTCATTTAGTGGTGTTAATCCTTATTAATAAAAAAATTTGTTTAAAATATAAACAGTTAGGAATGAATCAAGTGATTTGACACTAATACTTAAAAAAAATTCAGAAGGTGGAGTTAATCGATTTGACAAGTAAGTCATTCAAATAAGGAATGCAGGCAAAGTGGCCCAAAGTGGAGGGAGAGCGGCCCATTGTCTCACGCATTTACGACTGACGTGCGATTCGCCGAAACGGTACACACACACTACTCCATCGCGTAATGCGGCGCAAAAGTTAGACTCCTCTTACCCTTGTGTCGTCCCATTGGACTTCTGTCGTATTTGCTCTGCACAGTAGTGTTCGCATACCTTGTGTAGTTACGAACGTTAACCCCTTGCTATACCATTTAACCGGGCAAAATCCGGGCCATAACTATGGCGACCGATATCTCACTCGTGTTGTTACTTCGAGTCGGACTCGTGACATTTATATTCGATCCAAAACTTTTATCACGAGTTGAACTTGTTGAAGTAAGGCAAGGGGTTAACACGTTGAATGCCGTGGGGATCGGTGACCCCAGGCCAAATTCGATTGCTGCAATTTCCTCAATGAAACGATGGATTATTTGAAGACATTTCTATATTGTAAATAATGCTACCTAATGCAGTGACATTCAGCAAAACAAACCTGCGATAATAACAACGCAATTCAATGAAATAATTTAATATTGTATCTTTTTCATTTCGCATATTCTGCACCTTAAAATCGTGCGGCATTCAACGTGTTAACGAGATGGTTTGACGCAGAAACTGTAGTGGGTCAGATTCTTTTCGCGCGCAAATACTAGGAGCGTCGAATAAAACGATCGTCGAATGTTCGTTGATCAGCAACGCTTCTTGAAAGCGTACGTTTTTCACGACACGGGTGCATGTCGCTTGCGATTTTGTCGAGGTTCTTCCCTTAGATGTTCTGTGTAACTGTTTAAATATATAAATATTTTATTTTGTTACCTTATGTTTCATTAATCGTCTACTACAAAACAAATACTAATTTCCTTTAATTTACCAACATTCATCAGTGACTAAAGCCCATATCGGATATGATTAGTTGGTTACATAAAAATTTTCTGCAAATTTTGAAAAATTATAATTACTATTTTATTGATTGTAATAACTCTCGTTATGCCAAAAAAATGCCAATGGATAGACGATTATGTTGATTATAGATTCATTTATACAGAAAAAGATGGTATGCAATGGTCATAATGTATTTTATGTTGTAAAATATTTTCAAACTCCAATTTTAAATCGTCAAAGTTATTAGAGCATTTCAACAATCAGCATAGTGGTGAATTTTCAAGATATTCTCTTAACATCTTGATGTCTAAGAAGGCATGATTTGATACCAGTGGTACAATCACAAAATTTGACATTGCGTAGTTCAAAAGCCCTTGTTAGAAGCTTATTATAAAGTGGTGTATCTGTACTAAGAAAGGGAAAGCATACAATAGCCAAGAAATTGATAAAACCACCTGCACTTGAAATTGCAAAAATTGTATTGGGTTTTGAAGCGTAAGGGACAATTTGATTCGATTGCGCACTCAAGATCTCAGTGGTGATATTTTATTGCAAGCGGTAGAAGATCCTCCTCTGAAAGTGAGTGTTTAACTGGACGAGTTAATTGGTGTTGATAATTGCAGTCACCTGATGGTATTTGTATGATACATTAAGAAAAAAGAAATGTTGCAACAATTTTTATATTGTGAGTCACTGGAATTGATGACCAAAGGAATTGATGTTTTCAATCGTATTAAAAACTTTTTTTGAAACATCAAATATTTATGAATATGATAGGTTCAATTTGCACTGATAGTGCTCATGCAATGTTGAGTAAAAATTCTGGATTCTTTTTATATATCAAGACAGAAATACCACAAGTTATGATAATGCATTGCATGTTGCACCATCATGCACTTGCATAGAAAATTTTGCCCGAGAATTTAAAACAACATTTAACTATTGCAGTAAATGTAATAAAGTATATCCAAGGACAAGCTCTTAATCATCGTATCCTGCATGCTTTTTGTGAAAAAATTGGTACTGTTCATACTGTGCTCCTTTATCACAGTGAAATACGGTGACTCTCCAAGGGCTGTATGCTAAGCAGGGTTTTTGAACTGCATGAGGATATTATACAGTTTTTTATTAATCAGAATTGTGATTTAGCTAAAGCTTTCGAAGAAAGAAAGGCAATACTTCGATTAGTCTACTTAGAAGATATATTTAGCCACTTGAATGAATTAGACATATCAATGCAAGGATTTGATAAGAACATAATAATACTTAATGAAAAATTAAAAATTTAGAAATGTCAAGTTGAAAATCAGAATTTTGCAAACTTTCCTTTAGTTGATTTAGTCGTCCTAGAAAATGAGAGAATAATAATTATACCTGAAATTACAGTACACCTTGAACAATTGAGTGAATCATTTCATAGGTACTTTACCATGGAAAACATTAGTAAAGTTCAGAAATGGATACTGGATCCATTTCTATTTGATATAGATTCAATAGTCTACAGCAATTTAGTAAAAGAAGATTTTCTTGAAATACAAACCAATGCACATATTCAAATAGAACTGCAAAAACTGGACTTAGAACAATTCTGGTATACACAGTTAAAACCTTACCCACATCTGGCTAAAGCAGCATTGCGCACATGTTTACCATTTTCCATAACTCACCTGTGTGAAATGGGATTTTCATGACTTTTGCACATAGAAGCGAAAACCAAAAATCGCTTGAATGCACGCAATGACTTACACGTGGCTCTTTTAAGATAGAGTCTTACTTCAAAAGTATTATTGTGAATAAACAACAACATAGCCATTAATAATTGAGATATTGTCTTGTATGTATATGTAAATGTATGTTTATTTTTTAATAAAGAAATTATTTTGATATAAATGTAATTTCCTAAATAAAGAAATTGAAACACATTTTTCATACGATTAATAGAAATATGCCAGTTGTATCATCTGCGGTGGTCGCCCTATATCTTCACAGCGTATCTTAGTTGGAATAAACGCTCTGCTATATCCACCAGGAGCTGGCCCGGTAGCCAATTGGGTATCAACCGTCTCATGATACACCCATTGTCTGCGACAGAAGTCTTGTAAAAACCACGCTTTGATGAATTGCAATATTTACTAAATAATACAGTTACAGTGATGTTGACTTAAATTTCACAAAACTCAAGAGCCAGTAGCGAAATGCTCGTGTGTAGTGTATAGTTTTTGACTCGACCACGGCTCGACGAAGTGATAGAATAAACATAACGAATGCAAGTGAGATGGACAAAGTACGTCAGGCAGCGACGATCGAGACTCGATACTTCAAAGCTATATCGCAACTGAACAAACATGAACACAGAAGAGAGAAAATTTCGTTTTGAATCATTTTTAACCTTATTTTTATAGGTATAACCAATGGGTTGCTGAGATTTTTTGTACGAAACATCGAAAAACTGGCTAGGAGTCGAGAGGGTCCTAGGCAATAAACATCTTGAAAGTGAACATCGGTGAAAATATGGATAGTCGAGGCATGCGAGCGAAGAGACTTTTCCTGTCGACGTTCTTAGGGAGAA